CGGATATTAAGTGCTAAATTGCAGATTTTAGTAAAAACCATTGAACAAGTAAAAATGCAGTTAAAAAAATGATGATGATCATATCACACTCTTAAAGTTCCCTTAAAAACTCTTAAATATCTAACAATGCAAGATCTCTTTTTCAAATTCCGTTTATAAAATGTATACATAAATATACCAACAAAAGCAGCTCTTGTGATGTTTACCATTGTTAAGAATGTTATCTGTGATTTGGATGTCCCAAATGCATGAAAAAACCAATAGGGTGTCAGAAGTACAAGAAATTCGATAAAAACTAATTTTAAATTTTGATAAATACCTAAGCGGGTTATATGGATAACCTAAGTAAGAATGCATTGTTTCATATTATATTTCTATTGATTTGTCGCCGATATAGTTGAAACAGCTAGTACTGAGTTTTAAATAAGTTTAAATAATTAAAAATATCTGTATAAAATTAGTGTTTAGAGATAAATTTAAAGAGCACTGATAAGGAAAACTTAAATTAATTTAGTTACCAATTTAGGTACGTTTGAGCAATCATATTGAAAGATGTTTGTTTCCACTAAAAATGTATCGATATAACTTAATCAATAAAAAATATATATTGGACGTGCTATAAATCTTTGAGAAATAAAAGCTTGATTTTTTTTCAACGCCATTTTTTTACTATTGGTTAATCAGAAAAACCAACATGAAAATGAAAATAAACCATTTCAATGTCATCTATTCCTATCTGGGCTTAAAAAGAATGGTTATATGTAAATCATAATTTGATTTCGTTTAATTTCAAAAATAAATCAATTTTTATTACTGACTGCTCATTTTCTCCGGTCATTCATTTTTCCACTAGAACATGAACAGAATATTACATTGAAACAATGGAAGCATTTCCAGTTTACGGACAATTAAAAAAATATAAAATTTAATTTTCGTAGCGGTTTAAAAGCCACTATCAAACAAACGCAATCAATTTTTACAATATAAGTGTTGTAAACACTACTAGTAATATGATCTTACAACAAGAATATTGTACCAAATTTTTTCCACTTTAATTCAGCAACATAAAAATATGTGTTTCCGGTAAAAAGCGTCAAACGGCGTGGTTAGAAAGAAGTGTATTTTTATGCACATAATACAGTTCATGTTAACAAAAACAGTACTGAACTAGTCTTGTCAGGCTTTTACTTCAGCGCTACTATACAAAACTACTTTTATGACTGTAAAATCTATATTACAAAAAATATGTAAACTTTTTCAAACATATAAGTGCTGTGAATTCTTGCATTACAACACAATATAACGAAGTTTAATATAATGTATGAAGTTATGACTAAATTATTGCTCCCGATTTTTGCAAACTATTTCCATTACCAAAACAAATAAGAAGTATTTGAAAAAAGTGTCAATTGACGCGGCAAGCATCTATGTTTAATGAAGACGGGAAGTTAAATTGGAAGTGGAGTAAAACCAAAATACATTTTTTTACAATTTAACTACATCACTTTCTCTGCACGGGCGTGCTTACTGCTCTATTTACAGAACTGGGAAATTGATATTACTAGATAAACAAAAAACAAGATCTCCTTGATAAAATTTTTTGGAACTGCTTTTGAAGTCGAATTAACTATAATTTAGTAAACGAAAATAGCCGCATTTGAAATATGGATGTTTAAAAAATATGTATTTTACCGCAACACGAAGAAGAAATGTAGAAGATTCTTTAACCTGCCAACTCATAAAGCTGCTAGCTAGACTTTATACTTTCATCGGGTAAGGATAGATGATTTGTAAAATGCAATTAAGCGGCAGCCAATAAAAATAAACTAAACTTCAAAATCCCCATCGGCCTTCTTCAATTTTGTTTACAATATCTTATTATTACCTATATACAAAATATACATATCTTACTCATCCTTTAAATTGTTTTCATCAAATACACTGCCCGATAGATTATGCTGTTCAAGTAGCACTGTCAACTATAATTTGTCTTGTTTTAATGTGAAATCGAGAACTTTGCACATATCACAATCCTGTTCGGCATTACACGAGCAATTGTCCTCGCATCGTTTCAAATGCTCGCACAATTTAAAGTTCTTAAAAGCTTTCAGTTCTTTTTTGACGTTCTCTAAGTTGCCCAAGTCGGACAGCTTAACGTCTTTTGGTAATTGTTATCCCTTTTGTCACATGAACACGTCTTGGAGATCTGCGGATGGTTCTAAAAATAGACGAAAAATATATTACTTCGAGAGTTCGAAAAGTTTGAAAAGCACAAACCTCTTCTGGAGGACATTTCATCTTCAAAGGTAACCATTTTTTCCTTTTGTTTTGCTGTGGAATTAGTGGACATTTTCCTCGGTGCCCTTACAGTTAATGGCATGAAATTCGGTAATGGAGGTGATTCCGTAGCGATAGATAGATCGAATTCACTCATGCTGCGCGGCACAAAATATTCAATTGAAGGTTCAGCTGCTAGAATGGAAGAAATTCAAAATTTTCAATGATATCGGGTTACAAATGTGTAACAATGTTTATTAATTAGAATACATTCGTACATTGCCTATTAAATTTCTAACGTCAGTCGATAATATTATGGTAAACAGTTAAGTTAACAATAACAAAATTCCACAATTCCACATGACAAATATAAATGAAGATTCTTGATACATTATTAAGGTGTAAGACAGTAACTTCTACTCTCTAAGGCTGCGAATTATATCAGATTTACAATCTCAGTTAATTGTCCTGAAGTGCTTTTGTGTGCTTTACCGAGTTACAGGGTAAAAAGTGGAAGTATGTGCAAGTTTGACATTTTTACGCCAATATTCAGAGCTCATTTCCTTCCAAACTCTTGCAAATTCAATTTTTTGTTTAAACCACAAACACTTAATTGTGCTAATTGTACGAACGCACACTAAAATACGTAATTTACAGTTATTTATACATACCAAATCCTGCTGCCGAGCGTCTCGCAGGAGTGTTTCGATGAAAATTGCTTTTTCTTGGTAAACTGTTATGATGTAGCGTAGGGGGTGATCGTCTTCCACCGATTTTGGACGGAGCTGCACCCTCCGTCGTGGGTCTTTGTCAGGAATCGGGCAAAGATGATGTGGATTCCTCCTGTCTTAGATTTTTGGTTTTGGAACACGAAGCACCAATGCATCTGAAAACTCTTTTTTAATGCCCAAATTCTTTATTTTTATAATTTTTACTGATAAAATATTCTGAACTTTTGACCCTAAATTAGCAACTAAAGATTAATTTAATTTCAAACAATAAAAAAAAACGTAGGAACAAGTTCAGAATAAGCTAATATTATTCTAGGAATAAAATTGTTTCCCTCTAAAAATAATTAAAACGACAATTTGGCCAACTAAATTTTGAGTCCGCACACGTACGGAGTTATTAACTCAAGTTGTCATTTGAAGAAATGGCAAAAGAAATTCCTAGTTCGGAATGGTACAGAAAAATGCTGTTCGGTTTAGTTATTTTTGTCATGCGAGCAAAAACAAAAGTTGGCAAAAATCAATTTTGGGAGGACTTTCCTATATGCGTCAGCCGTAATAAACACTGAAATAAATCAATTTCGGCTTTCGAATTGTGGAAAACGTATTTGCTGTTTTCATAAGTAAGTATAAGTTTTATATGTATTCTGTTGTTTTTTGGGGACAGTTTAGGTTTAGAAGTATTTCTAAAAAAACCCAAATTCGGTTTGTAATTTCTGATACTGTTGCTTTAAAATGGTAAACGTTTTCACTGGAAATCCGACATTGGATATTTTTCAAATTGCGTCTGGCCTGCTTGCAGGACGGACATACATATCCGATCTATCCGATCCGACTCCGATCAGAGAACCTTCCGTCGATGACCAAATAATCGGATCGGTGCGTGATCGGAAAGGGGAAGCCACACATGTCATACACGTTTCAGT